ATTAGTAAAATAATCATTAAAACTGTCAGCTATATCTTGTGAGTCGGTTATAACTCTATTTTTATAGTTAATCTTACTTATTTTTATTTTTTCTTTTGATTTCTTGTTTAATATTTGATTAATCATTTGCCATTGTAATTTGCTATTGCTCGCATGCTTTTTAAAATATGATGCGTAATACTTCTTTTTCGCAATATCTACTTGTTTTTCAACAAACTTTTTCATATGCTTATAAGTTTTTTCATTTTTTTCAGTAGGCTCTTTAACAAAGGATTTATATAGTTGGTTCTTTCGATTGCATGCACATTGAAGCCAATCTAATATCCACGGTTTAGAGTTTTTTCTGTGGTTTGATTTTTTCTTTTTAACTGGAAAACACTCATTATAGACTTCTTCATATTTAGTGTGAAAAGCTTCAAATTTTGTATTTGTCCCGTCAACGTTGTGTAAAAAATTCCAATCAATAGACGCTATTTTCTCCTCAAAACGAGCGATTTTCTCTTCATTTATTACTCGGTTTGATGATTCACAAGTTTCATTTTTCAATTTATTTCCTATTCTATTAGTGTCGAGAAGTATGCCGGTAAATGTGGCAAGGTGATCAGATAGCGATTCAGTTATAATGCCTGACTTTGTTATAGCATGGCATTGGTTTACGAAAATGTGATCAATAAGTGTAGCACTGTGACAAGTAATACGAGTTGGTCGTGATATCGTTGGTGCGAATCCATACTCTGCAAAAATATCAACATATTTAGTAGTATGGTCATTTACGCCGTATTCTAATAGATTAATATTGGTCAGTATCGAAACAGAGCAGGAACTATAGTCAACAACGAGTACCTCACATTTGCTATGAAATCGAAAGGGGAAAACAGCAGCGTGTACATAAACAATATCTTTGTTTGTGACAATGGAATAAGATGCGTCTCTTATTTAGAGGTGTGCGATCTAGTGGATGATTGTGGGGATGGGTCAGATGAAGCACGCTGCACTAATCATTTCAAGTGTAACTCTTCTGGACATTACATACCGAGAACAAGTAAATGCGATGGTAAGATTGATTGCTTAGATTCATCAGACGAGTGTAATGATGATTGTTCAAAAGAAATACTTGATGGATTTGCACTGAAGGGCCTCTCTTGGACAATCGGTCTTTTGGCAATTATGGCAAACCTCATAATAATCATTGTCAGCATCTTATCATTCAAGAAGTGTAGAACCACTGTTGCTCTGACAAATAAATCATTAGTCATCATGATAAGTATAGGTGATCTCCTAATTGGATCATATCTCTTAGCAGTATCTTTGTTCGATGAAGTAGTCCATGGTGAGGAGTACTGTAAGGACCAGACTACTTGGCTTTCAAGCAGCGAATGCTCTATACTCGGTGTCACAAGCACCATTGGGTCTCATCTTTCCCTGTAGGCAATGACTGTGTTAAGTTTGACGAGGGTTCATGGCATCTGGAACTCAATGAGAATTCCAGGAGGGGTTTCTATAAAAAATGTTGCCAAAGTTGTCGCTGTAAACGTAATCATTCTTGTCTTATCAGCTACAGTAGCATGCATTCCTATAATGAAATATTTTGACGATTTCTTTGTCAATGGAATAAGATATGACAATGAACTGAAGCTTTTTAGGGGCCTGGTTAGCAAAGAGACTCACACAAAAGTATTCAAAGAACACTTCGAACGTATGGATGATAGGATTTTGAGTTGGGATACAATAGATGGGATGGTTTCTGATATGTTCTCCCATGATACTCCGGCAGAGGATTTCACAAAAACTCAAACAAAAGTACGATTCTACGGGAACGATGGAGTTTGCTTATTCAAATACTTTATACGGAGATCAGATCCAAAACAGGCGTTCGTATGGGGTATTCTTATATTGGACTTCATTTGTTTTGTGGTGATATCGATTTGTTACATCATTATCAGCATACTATCTACCCGATCTTCAAATAATGTGACCTCCGGAAGAAACGATAAACAGACTCGTCAAAGAAACAGGCGAATGAACCAACGGATTTCTTTCATAATCATAACAGACTTTCTCTGCTGGATTCCATTTATCATTATCTGTATGTTTCATTATCTAGAGATCCTTGATGCTACCCCATGGTATTCAGTCTTCTCGATGGTGATTCTACCCATCAACTCTGTGATTAACCCCCTCCTCTACAACGATATTTTCAAAGCAAAAGTTAGGGTGGTACTATCCCGGACTAACACTAGAATACTTGAGATTACTGCGAGCTTCCGCTCTCTATCAGGAATGGCTACACCGCAAGAGAACATCGAAATGCACGAGATCTCTCAATTAACAGCTGAACTTTAGGAGAATATAATTGTCATTTGCTTTTCGTATTATGGCCGACTCATTGAATGATGAAATTTAGCTGTGTTGACGTGTTGTATTCAAATGTAATTAATACTGAAATTGTTGAGTTGATAGAATTTAAATAAGAAATTAGGGGAATTAGAAATGGCTATGTGGCGCAGTTCGTTAGTCAGCTTGCTTGTGAAATGCCTTGCATTCACAGGGTCCCAGGTTCGATTCCCGTCTGTGCCGCTAGCCATGGGGTGAGTGTCGTTGACGCTCTGCTAAGGGTTCCGTTGGACCTATGCAGCCCCCCGGTCTACTCAGCCGAATGCTCGAGAAATCGTGTGTGAGGGTTAAATGAGGAGCTGTACATGATCAATACAGCGAAGCTTCGGGCGAAGAAAGTGTGGTATAATACCTTAACCGTCGCTGGCGTTAGACTTGATCCTTCGGTTTCCTGTAAGTGCCGGTTACATGCCGTGACTATAAAGCCATGGTTGTCCGAAGTAAAGCATAAGGGTGGTCATTTCAGTTGATGGCCCTGCTGCAGCGCAGCTAAAGCATCACATAAGTAAGTAACTAGAACGAACACCGATGCAAGTACTTCTAAGAAGAATATCGATATTTGAAATATCGTTCAAGAATGGGAAAATTCAATCGACCGATTTCATTATCGGTGTCATTTGGGAACGGTTATGTATATACATTTTACTTCTTCAATTTTTGATGCAATTTTACATTATTCTGTACTTATCATTTAATATCACTATACTGTAACAGTGCTGGTGCGTATTTTATGCAAATTTCTTTAAAATATTCACAGAGTTATTTCTTATTCCTGTAATTTTTAACATCGAATTGGAATAATTAAATATGTTGAACAACAAATAAACCAGCTGAACGACTTCTGATGAGTCTAAATGAACGAAAAATAGTAAGAGGGTATTATAGTAAAGGAGGTATGTATAATAATGGCAGACGGTCGTGCTTGCCAGCATTGTGATTGAGCTTTGATCTTGCTTGTTTAATTAAAACTAATGGGCACGTTTGCCAGTGCCCAAGATATCATATCGGATCAGTTTACATCAGTCAACTTCCAAATATAATGTCTCCACGTTATTCAGGCTATAGTATAGCCTAGTATAGCCTAGTATAGTCTCGTATAGCCGAGCGTATAGCCTAGTATAGCCTAGTATAGCCTAGTACTCTAGTATAGCCTAGTATAGCCTAGTATAGCCTAGTACTCTAGTACTCTAGTATAGCCTAGTACAGCCTAGTATAGCCTAGTATAGCCTAGTATAGCCTAGTATGACCTAGTATAGCCTATTATAGCCTAGTATAGCCTAATATGACCTAGTATAGCCTAGTATAGCCTAGCATAGCCAAGTATAGCCTAGTATAGCCTAGTATAACCTAGTATAGCCAAGTATGACCTAGTATAGCCTAGTATAGCCTAGTATAGCCTAGTATAGCCTAGTATGACCTAGTATAGCCTAGTATAGCCTAGTATAGCCTAGTATAGCCTAGTATAGCCTAGTATAGCCTAGTATGACCTAGTATAGCCTAGTATAGCCTAGTATAGCCTAGTATAGCCAAGTATAGCCTAGTATGACCTAGTATAGTCTAGTATAGAATAGTATAGCCTAGTATAGCCTAGTATATCCTAGTATAGCCTAGTATGACCTAGTATAGCCTAGTATAGCCTAGTATAGCCTAGTATAGCCAAGTATAGCCTAGTATGACCTAGTATATCCTAGTATAGCCTAGTATAGAATAGTATAGCCTAGTATAGCCTAGTATAGCCTAGTATAGCCTAGTATAGCCTAGTATAGAATAGTATAGCCTAGTATAGCCTAGTATAGAATAGTATAGCCTAGTATAGCCTACTATGACCTAGTATAGCCTAGTATAGAATAGTATAGCCTAGTATAGAATAGTATAGAATAGTATAGCCTAGTATAGCCTAGTATAGCCTAGTATAGCCTAGTATGACCTAGTATAGCCTAGTATAGAATAGTATTGCCTAGTATAGAATAGTATAGCCTAGTATAGCCTAGTATAGAATAGTATAGCCTAGTATAGCCTAGTATAGAATAGTATAGCCTAGTATAAAATAGTATAGCCTAGTATAGCCTAGTATAGCTTAGTATAGCCTAGTATAGAATAGTATAGTCTAGTATAGCCTAGTATAGCCTAGTATAGAATAGTACAGCCTAGTAATCTAGTATAGCCTAGTATAGCCTAGTACTCTAGTATAGCTTAGTATAGCCTAGTACTCTAGTATAGCCTAGTATAGCAACGTCACGGGATCATGTGCAGCACTCAGCAGCGCACTATTCACAACGATTCCTCCTGCACTCTTTGTAGACTGTTATAGTCAGTAAGTTAGCAGTAGTGTTACACTTACACTTACCACAATGTGCACTACACCCCACTTGCTGCATGTTATGGCTACTAACTGTCGTGTCATATTATACACGTGTTAATGTTATAGGGCGATGAGGAGTATTCTGTGATACAAACTTGGGCGGGGCCGTTTTAATCCCGATATTATAGGACTGAGCAAATAGTTCGTGGATTTTTAATTTCTGAGTGCACGAAAGCGTGTGATATATTTTTACACCTTCTGTAAAATTGTAAAACTGCAACTTTGACCAAATAAAACAAGATAATTTTGGAATAAATCATAACTAATCCATCTTACCTACATACAAATATTATTACATAGATACAAAATTAAAACTAACGTACGCCATCCTGCATAGTATGTACACACTGTATAATAAAATAAAATAGGGTACCAAGACAATAGAGTCAGGTATAGTAGGCAGGGACAAACGCCAGAACCAAGACATTAGAGTCAGGTATAGTAGGCAGGGACAAACGCTAGAACCAAGACAATAGAGTCAGGTATAGTAGGCAGGGACAAACGCCAGAACCAAGACATTAGAGTCAGGTATAGTAGGCAGGGACAAACGCTAGAACCAAGACAATAGAGCCATAGTCAGGTATAGTAGGCAGGGACAGAGCCAGTAAAAGGCTTTCAGATAGGAACAATTTGTCATTACGAGGTTTTTAGATTGGAAAAAATTTAATACCAACATGTTGGGTTCTTACGAAAGAATCATGAGATTATGGCTCATATTATTATTATTATCAGGTAATATAAGGGTAATACTCGAAAACACGTATTCTTCTAAGTCAAACAATCACGGAGAAGTTACCGTGTAACCACCAGGATCGTACATTATGAAAGTAGTTAATTTCACTATTTTACAACGCGGAAAAGCTTGTAAAACTGCAGGCTCGTGTTGTTTTCAACACCGCGCACACTCAAACACAGTCACAAATACAATATACGTTTTTCTCAAAACTCCAAAAGATTAAAAAACAAATAAAGGCTTAAAACGTGGGTAATCAGGCGTAGTTGCCGGAACTAGCTTCTTGAGAAAGTAGTCCGGACAACTGAAGAGCTTGATATCGTTCGTTACACCATAACTACACAAATAAATATTCACCGGGACGCACTTTATATATTAATTAAATATCACTAGACACACAAAACGCAGTAGCTCATATATCATCGGCATCCTATTGCAGGAATCACGGTTCCTTGGGAACAAAACCAGCCGTTCAGAACATCATTATCAATCGGAGAGGGCCATCGGGGCCTGGGGTGCACATAGGTGCACGTGGCAAACTTAAAAGAAAATGTATCATAACTAACTTTGAACAGGTACACGTGGTGGATGCCCTGCATATAACTTCTAAAACCCAAAAAAATGTTAAATATGGCATTACCGTAACAGGCAGGAAACAGTTAAAGCGTTCTAGGTTAGCGGTTACCTAGGTAAGCGGTTAGCTGTTAACTCAAAGCCTGTAAAATATTATTTAAAAACATTCTTTAAAAAGAAAATCATTAAAACACACTTAATAATATATAGCAAATAGATGTTTAACCGCTTGTAGTAAGAAGGGTAATTAATTTGTCTCGTCAGGTACTTTTATCCATCATAACCATGGTAACACTGCACACATACACTCTATACACAGAGCTAAACATTATAGTCGATACCGCTCATAGCGGTTTTTAACGGTACAGTGTGATTAGGCTACTCTGGATCAAAGCAACAAGACTCCAAACCTTAGGTAACTGGTATCTTTACATGTAACCTTATTCATATTGTTATAGCCACGATCAGCTAAACTCGCTTCATCTTCATATTCTCTCCCAAAGTAGACTCTTTAAAAATATTCCAAAAATTAATATTACATTTAATATATAGCCAAAATTAAAAATATGTTCATCATAAAGCGTTTATATCATGCTTATTACGTGGTTCGGGGTACATTTAAAAGAGAGGTTAAAAATACTGAGCTTTATAAACTTCTGAAATCATTAGGTTAATAAAAACCTTGAGTGCGGTTATTTATTCGAGATCAATCCTATAACACTCAAAGTAAGAGAGAGAGAGAGAGAGGCCAAGTTTATTATTATATCAATATTATTAACAAGATGCTCCGGATTTGATTAAAAAACTATATACTCTCGATTAACAGTGCCCGAGTACAACATGGACAAATAACCAACAAACCAAAATAATATTAAAATAACAATAAGACTGTTGTATAATAGATTATATCCTTTTAAAAACCGAACACGTGCTAGAATATTTCATTATAAAAACGACCAAAGTACCGGTAACCAGAGCGGCACCATGGTAATGACAATCATGCACACTGCGCGACGCGCGTCACCATGGTAACCGCTGGTAATATATAACATATCATTGTTTTGGTGCCAAGATAAATCAGACAAACAGTTTAAAAACACAGGAGGATTTACTCCTTCGCTAACGTTTGTGAAAACACACAAAATCCCACTTCATGCCAGGTTGCCATGTATCCCACGTGAAGTCACTAGGTTGATAGTAACCAATCATGACAACCAAGCATTAAAATAATAAGGCTATATATAGAAAAATGCAATTTTATTACAGCTAAAACTTTGCTTCAATAAATGAAAAAGTATTTTACTTTCCAAAGGATTTAAAATTTCTGTTAACCTTTTAAAATATAAAAACAGGCATGTAGACCTGATTTCATTAAAATTTTCAACATATACAAAAATGAAAACTGTAATCAATGAGAAGCTGTTGGGGGAGCAAATAACTCTACAGAATAGAACATTAGCACCATAGGAGATGTTTTAAAAATTGGACGTTCCGAGGATCTTTAGATTATGTCAGCGCGAGGCACGGTCATACGAATTGTCGCGCAACGTTGTCATAGCAAAAATAATTGTTACCATGACAATATTAGACGATTGATTGAGTGACACAGCGCCCCACGCGATTAGGTAAGCTTTATACTTCTTCTTCCACTAAGTTAGTCAAGTTAAAATAACCTAATAGTACAGTTCCAGGCAAGTCTGCGCGCAGCAGAACACCAAGCGAGCATGATGACAAACCCACATTATTCAAACGTGCGCACGTTTCATGTGCATTAACTGCACAAAGCACACGTGCACATCACCTGTGCATGGAAACACCGGCATACATACCTGTTACCAGCACATGGTGATTACTGCACGTGCACACAAACGGCGCGAGGCATTGTCAGTCACGATTTACAGGATGCGAGTTTGGCCAGTCTTGCTGTTCCGGGTAAGAGGTTTGTGGGATCGGAGGTGGTCGAGGGAGTGATGCCAAGCCCAGCACTGCTGGCAGAAGTACTTGAAGCAGCAGACGCTGCGACAGAAGAGTGGCCCAGGGTTCCTGTTGCACGTGTTACAGATGCTATCTTCCAGGTATGGCTCTATTTGAACCTGAAAATTGAGGTAGAGTTAGTATGGGATGGCAGGTTAAAACGGTAGAGAATTGAGGAGGGCTGGAAATTTTGTAAATTTGATAAATTATAGCTCATTCTGAATTATAAAAGTTAAAAGGTTATTTATTTAAAAATTTGCACATTTGGCAGTTGCACAAACCTTCTTGGTGAATTTGGGCGTCTTAATCTCCACAAAGTTCACTTGAATGGCTCTAAAGTAGCTGTCATGGGAGCTGAAAGTGACACGTCCAGACCCGATAGGGTATTTGTACTTGTCGGTATCAATCCCTGCGTACACGACATTCCCGAACAGCTCGTTCATGGTGTAGGCCAGACCGTCAGCGTTCAGCATACCGTGAAGCGCTCCAACGAACACTGTTTTGCACATATCCAGCTGTTGAGAGGTGCCCACTACTGAGTTGCTGTCTGACAAGACCCACGGGATAACTTGTACCTGGAGGAAAAGGAGGGGTCAGCAGACGCGTAATGAGGTTGGGTGAGGTTTGATGATGGGCTAATTATGGGTAAATGAGGGTAAATGAGGTCTGTGGACAGCAGAGTAGAAGTGCTAGGATCAGACGAAATACTGGGAATAAAAATACACTTTTATTATCAATATTGACAGGTAATTGCCAATTAAGCAATTATGAGAATACATATTAAGGAAATCAAATTACCAAATTTAATGAATCACTACAAACCTCTTTGCTCCTCATTCGTTTGCTGGAGACTTTGAAGTAGTAATCAATAAAACCACCGCTATACTCCTGGGTGCACTCCATCAGTAGATTCTTGACTGACCGCTCACAATCGAAAATCAGGTAAACGTAACCTGAAATTATGATCGTGCAAATGTTTGGTAAATGATTGTCTTTATTAAGTTAAACGTTTATTAATGATATTGAGAACTCGGATAATAAACAATCAAGGCTAATGTTCTCAAGACGGGTTTAATCTAATAACAGGACAGGGCACACAGAATAAACGGCCTATTTTTCAGCAGCAGGGAAGACGGGGGGGGGGGGGGGGGGGAGAGAGCAGCAGGGAAGACTCTGACAAATCCTGCACTTGCACGGATTTCTGGGCCTATTTTATAAAAATTCAGACCTTGGAGTCAACGCAAAAAAGCATGTCTGCTCTAACTTTTGCTACATTGAACTACACTAATTTATACTGTGTGTAGTCTTGACTTAAAGTCTATTCATAGAATCCATCTAATGAGTAGTATTCTTTGTAATTTAGACTGAACACTGAACACGCTGTAAAGTTGAATCCATACAATGGCTATCACAGTCCGGAATATTCTAGAAAGATCACAATACTAATCAAGATTGTGTGCGGTTTCGTGAACTGATTCTTTATCACAGTTTGTTGACTGTAAAAATAATGATCAGAAATCAATGTTACTCCGGACAAGAAGAAATCGGTTTGAAGTTAGCAGTTATATACAACTATCATGCTATTCTAACTGACCGTCAGACATTAGTGTCTTCTGAGGAACGAACAATCGCTTAGCAACTGAGCTGAACGGACGTTTCGTAAGCATGTGAAACAGCATGTACACTCGCGTGAAACTAAATTAATGTTATCGAGACCACATCAGTTTTGTTACTTTCCATTATATGTTGTCGTCGCGCGCTACATAAAACACAATTTCCGTTACTGGAATATTGTTCCATTTTGAGACAAATCATTGCTACAAATGAGTTTTACAGCCGTGCGTTGAAGCGGAAATTGCATTTGCACTACGGCGAGAGAATGGCCAATAGATTTTCCTGGGTCCGATTTGTCGACGTGTTAAAAGTATTGGCCGGTAACAAAATGAGTGTGTTATTAAGTAAAGAAACCGTAACGTAACATCAAATATTGGGTATCTTATTTCACCAGACTCTTACATGAACAATACAGATTTGTGTTATTACAATTATCTCTTCCCCCTGGCCCCACCAGGGTCAGTCTCGCTTACTACTCATCCTAAGGCTCTATACAATGTGGACCTTCTATGTACAAAGTTAATGAAAAGATGCACTTCCGCTTTGGTCTGAGTTTCTGTACTCAACCCCCATGATAGTACAACCTAACAACCTTATACATCACTTGAGTCCAGGGCTACCTTTATTTCACCAGACGGTTTACTTCCGCCAACAGAATCACAGAATGTACCTCAGAATACGGAGTAAAGCCGTATTACGGACTCTGATTGAACGTGTAGAAACGAGTAGTGATGGTTTAGGTAATAGTTATGAACATTGAACATGTTAGCAAGTTAATTCTAAAAACAGAATGCACCACTTTTACTGCTTTACTGCGAAATCTGTCTGGCTGGGGTATTGCTGTATCTCCATTAATATTATGAACACCAACAAAAGTCGACTTGCCAATGTACAGAATACTTAGCCTACTCCGAGATAGAGTTGATAGATATTATAATAATATATAGATATATACAACACAATGATCAAAGGATCAAGACGCTGCAGTACGAACAGCAATCAATACACTATCCGTACAGTGGGGGATATGATTGAATTACAAAGACTCATGCATATGCGACTCATGCATATAGAGCGCCGATACATACAGGAGTCAGGACCATGTTATTATCGTATAATGAGCCAGCTAATATTGTCACACCGGTTATGCGACAAATATATTCTATTTCCGACAATCCTTGAACATTCGTCAAATGTTTGGGCTGCTGGCTGAAAACTTCGCTCCTCCACGTAGCGGAAGCCACAAAAAGATGGTCAAATTCTTCACATCTGTAGACTTATTGAATGCAGTGTAAAAATGTGATGGCTGTTTAGTGTTTAAGGAATTTATCCCCGTAAACACTAAACACTCTGAAACTCAAAGAGAAGTGAGAACACATTGCTGACCTAATCACGACGTGCTAAAACTCGTGATAGCACAATTTGTAACTTTTCATCTAACATTAAGAGATTAAGACACACACCAGACCACTAGACATTTACAGTTGGCCAGCCACAGTGTTACTCCTCAAATATAACGGCTGTATATTGTATAACAGTTGTGTAACGGTTGTGTAACGGTTGTTGTTGTTTAACGGCTGTGTAACGGCTGTATAACGGTTGTTTAACGGCTGTGTAACGGCTGTATAACGGCTGTGTAACGGCTGTATAACGGCTGTGTAACGGCTGTATAACGGCTGTATAACGGCTGTGTAACGGTTGTATAACGGTTGTTTAACGGTTGTATAACGGTTGTTTAACGGTTGTATAACGGTTGTTTAACGGTTGTATAACGGTTGTTTAACGGTTGTGTAACGGTTGTGTAACGGTTGTTTAACGGTTGTATAACGGTTGTTTAACGGTTGTGTAACGGTTGTGTAACGGCTCTAATCTGAGCTGCTTGAAGTAACTGATGCGAGAGAGTACATTTTGTGAAGCACGTAGGATATACTTCCCAATGCTCGCTGAATATTATATATCGTATATCAACATGCTGCTTTCCATCATTACGTGTACATACATGTTTCGCACAGGATTATATTAATATTTCTATGCGTACGTGCTCGGGAATATAAAATGGTTGGTAAAGTGCGGTAAAGTGCGATATATTATGTTATAGTGAGCACTCAACAGGGTGAACCAGGAGGTAGTAACAAGGTGAAATAGTGCAACACAGAGCGTTTTAAAATGTTTTATAAGTTTGTAATGGTGTTAGCTCTCTCTCTTACCGGGAGACTGCATATTTCAGATCTTTTACAAAGGGCAAAAGCTGATAAAGTGAGAAAAGCTTTGCAATGTTTGACGCAAAACACGTCTTTGGTGAAGAATTTTACATATTTGTGTACTCCCTTTATATTCTCCACTGTCCGCACGTTCCCCATTATTTGACTCAAATCAAAGCTCAAATTATCTCACACAAAACAGTCAATCAGCCGGACCGATGGATAAGTATGTATCACAGACCGCCTGACTGTGTGTATCACAGACCGCCTGATTGTATGTATCACAGACCGCCTGACTGTGTGTATCACAGACCGCCTGACTGTGCGTATCACAGACCGCCTGACTGTGTGTATCAAAGACCGCCTGACTGTGTGTATCACAGACCGCCTGACTGTGCGTATCACAGACCGCCTGCGCCTGACTGTGTGTATCAAAGACCGCCTGACTTTGTGTATCACAGACCGCCTGCGCCTGACTGTGTGTATCACAGACCGCCTGACTGTGTGTATCAAAGACCGCCTGACTGTGTGTATCACAGACCGCCTGACTGTGCGTATCACAGACCGCCTGCGCCTGACTGTGTGTATCAAAGACCGCCTGACTTTGTGTATCACAGACCGCCTGCGCCTGACTGTGTGTATCACAGACCGCCTGACTGTGTGTATCACAGACCGCCTGACTGTGTGTATCACAGACCGCCTGACTGTGTGTATCACAGACCGCCTGACTGTAAGACCACGTCGTCAACTAATACAGTAACTTTATTAGCTCTTACGGTTGGTGCGCACAGTATGTTGTCAATGTCAGGGCATTTATTCTTTGTTACTTTGACCTACACAGATAAGAACCGCTCGTGAACCAGCTTTTGTAGCGTGTGATATTAAGTGTGATATTGTGTGATATTAAGTGTGATATTGTTCTGAACCGGACACGGAAAATTGTTTTCAACAACTTCATAATAACCCTGGACAAATATTAAATATCGTGTTAAAATGTGGGGAGTGAATACTGAGCTGTTAGCAAGTTGTATGCTTAGCTGTAAAAACAGTATAACTTGGATATTTAGGGAGCATTAAAGTTTGCAGTTTCTTCTAACCATGTAACTCGATCACATCTGAGGACTCAACTACTGCAAGGGGGACTCAAAGATTCAGGAGAATCTTTTTGTCTAGAAGAAACAGTCGGGATAACAATGAGATTCTGAATAGTACTTGCCTTAAAAGCGATAAAAAGTAGGCTCTCTCGTTCATAAAGTGCAATTTGACCATTACAAAATGCAGTTGGTATCAACAGCATCACGATCTTATTGTGCAAGATGGAGTATATCAACAATATTGAGTATTTCGACAAGATGGAGTATCTCAACAATATTGAGTATTTCGACAAGATGGAGTATCTCTACAATATTGAGTATTTCGACAAGATGGAATAGAGGGAGGGGAGGGGAGGAGGGGGCAACGAGGATTTCAGGGGACTTATTCCCATTAATTCCCAGTTTCCTCTCCTACCTCCGAATTGCTTGAGTACAGATGGAAGTTCCTACGTAAAACCTAACCCCGCATTAGATCATGAACCGGCCAGCCAGCCAGACTTGCTATTAGAAAATAGTACAAGTAAAATTATGTTAAAGATGAGAGTGTATGTATGTATGGGCGGGGAGATCCTTGAGATTATACCATCTGTAAAGACTGACCGTAGTCATAATGAGCTTTGCTCTCTCTCTCTCTCTCTCTTTCTCTCTCTCTGTCTCTCTCTCTCTCTCTGTCTCTCTCTCTCTCTGTCTCTGTCTCTTTCTTTCTCTCTCTCTCTCTCTCTCTCTCTCTCTCTCTCTCTCTCTCTCTCTCTCTCTCTCTCTCTCTCTCTCTCTCTCTCTCTCTCTCTCTATCTCTCTCTATCTCTCTCTCTCTCTCTCACTCTCTCTCTCTTTCTCTAGATGGCGTTCTCTCTCACTCTCTCTCTCAGACAACCTATCTATTGTTCGAAGAGATTTTGATATGTGCTGAAATTAATCAAATATAAGATTTCATATCTCGTGGAATATACAGCGAGAATGTAGTGAGAGAGAGAGAGAGAGAGAGAGAGAGAGAGAGAGAGAGAGAGAGAGAGAGAGAGAGAGAGAGAGAGAGAGAGAGAGAGAGAGAGAGAGAGAGAGAGAGAGAGAGGAGAGAAGAGAGAGAGAGAGAGAGAGAGAGAGAGAGAGAGAGAGAGAGAGAGAGAGAGAGAGAGAGAGTGAGAGAGAGAGAGAGAGAGAGAGAGAGCGAGAGAGAGAGAGAGAGAGAGAGAGAGAGAGGAGAGAGAGAGAGAGAGAGAGAGAGAGAGAGAGAGAGAGAGAGAGAGAGAGAGAGAGAGAGAGAGAGAGAGAGAGAGAGAGAGAGGGAGAGAAGGAGAGAAGGAGAGAGACAGCGTCTCTAATTTCAGGTTTCTACTTCTTGAAGTTGTACACGGATATTATATTATAATATATCTAAACATTAAATCCCTGCCACGAGGAGAACCACACTTCTCGTGTCGTGTGTATAGCAAGATGGACGTATTGTTTGTGTGAATACGATATTAAAGTACCTACATGGTGCAATAATATATATTGTTCACTAATCAATACTATCGTTTACTCAATGTTAAGTGTAAAATGATGTATTATATTATCCACATATTGTTAGCATTAGAATCCAGTAGACCGCATCGTAAAGAATCCTCATAATATGACGTAAGCAAAGAATATAGAATATTGATAGCAACGCAGTGCTGTAGTACGGCGATATTTTAATTACTAGGTTCTTAAGTTCTGACAAATAAATGGACGCTTTCAGTTAAATTCATGGCATCATAACGGTATTGAGGCATGTTTGTCGGCGTTATTTAGCGTAAGATCCATTGGAGACTACACTCTCAGAGACTGCTCTGGAGACTATACTCTAGTCACTCCTAATGGACCTAACGTTCATAGTACTATAGTAAACATGCGGCTTCATGTAGCTTTCAGACGACGGGATTCCTGTCGAGAAACAACAATAAAGTATGTAGTGCAGATACAATAAAATCACCTAATATGGCGAGATACAATGGCCATAAAACCTGAATTCTAAGCTACGTTTGTCGCGCGACACATCTTCTTCCAGAAGTTCAGTCAGACTTAAAGTTTTCAGGCGGAGCTAAGTAATTATTGTGCGGATAATTATAATCCCTCCTGTTAGCTGGGAAGACTCAGGCCGAGTTAGTTTGCAGTACACGATTTGTTATAGTGGTGTTGACAGTGTACTAACACTCACTACTCTCTCGCTCTCCCTTTGGAATGTTTAACTGCTCCGTGTACATTCCAGAATACCAGAACTCACGGGACCTCACATTCTGGGAGGCCCGGACACACCACGGACACACCACGAGGGCGGCCAGGGCCGGACGGACAAGAGCTCAATCAGGGGTATCGACCAACATGGTGTCTCGTGATCGTATTTCAGCTTGTAAATCAATCCCTGTAACTGGCAGAGTGGGACATGGTAACGAGTTTTATTACCACGGCTCACTTGTTCAACCTCTGACAGTGGAGCAAGGGGACGGCTCACTTGTTCAACCTCTGACAGTGGAGCAAGGGGACGGCTCAATTGTTCAACCTCTGACAGTGGAGCAAGGAGACGGCTCACTTGTTCAACCTCTGACAGTGGAGCAAGGAGACGGCTCACTTGTTCAACCTCTGACAGTGGAGCAAGGAGACGGCTCACTTGTTCAACCTCTGACAGTGGAGCAAGGAGACGGCCCACTTGTTCAACCTCTGACAGTGGAGCAAGGAGACGGCTCACTTGTTCAACCTCTGACAGTGGAGCAAGGAGACGGCTCACTTGTTCAACCTCTGACAGTGGAGCAAGGAGACGGCTCACTTGTTCAACCTCTGACAGTGGAGCAAGGAGACGGCTCACTTGTTCAACCTCTGACAGTGGAGCAAGGAGACGGCCCACTTGTTCAACCTCTGACAGTGGAACGAGGAGCCACTCATACAGTATGCACTATGCAGGAAGCTGATGTAGTAGGTTATTGCGAGTTCTAATAGTGCTGATGTAGTAGGTAGTAGTGCCCAATGGCGAGTTTGCTAGAGACTTGTAAATCATCTTGCATACCAGGAAGAAGGCGAAATGTGGAGTATGAGTAAATAGGTGGACCTTTTGGAGGATTATACACATATATAATGTGGCCGAGAACAGCATAAATGATTTCTACATAATTGTATGCACTATAATAATGTACATTATGCATGATGTGTTAAAGGATACTGATATTCCTAGGAGAAGGTTTTTAATCAATGCGGCGTGTTGAAGCCTTCACGGGCCTATTTGTTAAAACCGTTGTCCATTATAATACATCATGTCATTGGGTAGTAGTGTTGTGTATCATTGGGTTACACATACCCCCCTATGTGTGCTCTCTAACATGCAGCAATCTTGAAGTAACACCCCCGGTGACAAAGAAGCAGTGTTATAAAGTTATAGATTCGTCCGGGTGTTTCAGTTATAAGTAGGTACCACCCCAAGCTAATTAAACTTTTGAGACTCAGACCACCACCTCGTAACCACAAAGTCTTTCTTAATGAGGCGGGGTACTACTGTTAAGGGGGCCGGGGGGGGGGGGGGGGGGGGGGGGGGGGGGGGGTACTACTGTTAAATACTGGGGTGTTGTGAGCTGGGGCCCCTCCTATTAGCTGCTGCTGTGTACCCTGTCCGTGTTAATGATCACACCGGCAAAATAATTAATCAAACGGTAACTATTTTACTAAATTAGAAGCTGAGCGTGAAGTACCTTTACCTTTTGGCGGGTGTCTGTTGTGACGGTCATCCTTTCCTGGCCACTCAATCTTCAGACTACCGAACTTCTCAAAGCAGGCAATCAGACCCACTGAAATTAAGTTATTAGAGTATTACATTACATTATTATATCTGTAGACCTAGTTTCGAGCTACTTAAATGTAAATCATGTAATTGAATAGTCTCGACGGATAATGGGATATGATAACGATTGTTTTCCATTGAATTTGACGTTCTAAACACGATTCACAGTCACTCAGCCAGAAAATTCACCACATAAACAATTGAAGAAAGGATCGCTTTCGGAAACTTTCATAAACAAAATCAAAAGTTTTAAAAGTAGATAAGACCATACCTTCAGTGATGTCCCAAGGTACACCCCCTAGGAAGACTTTGCAGCTGTAGGTGGGTGTCTTGTACCTTCTGGGAGGTAACTCTCCGCACCACGTCACCACTGCATCTTGCTTGTCTGGAAAATGATATCCGAATTAAACGGCCGTTTACTACTCAACTTGGAGCCGCTATTCAGCGGCGCTTACTGTAAGTAAAGTGCTTGCTTTAAGTGAAATTCCGCACGTTTCGCTGGCTCGGTACCCTGACTGTAAGTGTACTCGACCGGGCACATCATGATCGTTCAAATTAAAATTTAAGATTTTAGAGCTTAAATATCTCGCACAGTTAATATTGCGTCTGAAATTTCGCGACGAATCTCAATTTACATGCGTGAGATAGTGGATATGGGGGAGTAAGTGAGTGAGAGTAAGGAAAGTTGTGAGAGAGTGATTTTATTAGAGGTCTCAGAGTTCCTTGTGATAAGGTAAGGGTTACTATAGCAACGACAGTATTACAACCACTGGTTGAGAGCTCTACCTGCTGAGTAGATATTGAACAGCTGTAATATCGGGCCAATAATACCGTGCTCTAAATGACATTTTATTGACATGTTGCGGGACCTGACCTGTCAGGATGAGCAGTGCCGGTATAATGCACTATCAGAATATATCGTCACAATTACACAGCAGATCTATACGTATAACTCGGTTCACATTAACTTCACAAATCAGATTGTATTCACTGTTTTTACGGGGTTTCACTTTTGGGTTTAGTTCGGCGTGGAAGGGTGTCCAATTTCACAATTATTTGTATCTTCTTTAGCCGCAAGAATAACGATGACCTAATCCTCATTTCATTTCAACAATCCCACCCGCAGTGAGCTGAACATGATCATTGTCAGTGATCAGGTGAACAAAAGTTGACTTACGGTTGAATTATGCCAGTAATATGAGCGGCTGTGTAAGGTTGACACGCAGGCTGCAGCCTAATAACTCGCCTGTCTAACTAATCTCACTACAAACAGGGACATGACCCGGACAATGATATTGATTAAATGACAGGCATGTTGTTTTGTTAATTAAACAAGGTTTAACTGTTAGTGTTAGTGTTAGTGTAGGTGAAACTTGACCTCGCCGTGTCTACCTCTTGTTAACCACCCGACACGCACCAAGACCCCTGGTACGTTGTTATTCAAATCCCGACAAAAATATGGGCATTATCAGCATATAAAACAATGTTATGTTGTTTAAACTTTAAATCAAATTTTCGTGATGTATGGACTGTATATATGTGGAGAAGAAAAAAGGAAGTTGCTAAATATGGACCGTGAGACTACGGGTGTTGGATTGGGCCACATAATTGCGGTAATATTGAAAAGAAGTTTTTCAAGAGTAAAGTTCCACTTTCTCCCCTGGTACCTACATACATTCCAGACAAAATAAGGTATGCACCAGTCGAGACACTGTACCTACACTCATTTGCACACTCGCATCTTAACACTTGATAACATAACGGATTTTATGAACACATATACACACACACACACACATACACACGACACACATCATCATGATCGCTGACACGCAGCCTCCCTCACACTTACACAAGTCACTCAAATTAATGGGTAAGAGAAGACAGACTTACCGTCGATGTGGTTGTACTGGTTCCTATCACCGGTGTCAATAAGCCCGGGAATACCCATGTGATTGGGCTGAATGAACTGGGAGGGCTGCATGAGTCCGTTAAGAGAGTTGTTAGCCATCCATCTAGGAGCATGTTCTAGAAGCATGCTTAGCTTGGGGTCCAGGGCTGGCATCTGTCCAAGCATCATGTTTGACATCATGTTCGGTTTCATGGACATTAGGGAAGCCTGAAATTGTTGACACGTTTTACATTCCAGTTTAGCGTTAGATATTCAGGTTAGATATTTAGGTTAGGTTCAGTTGTGAATGTTACATTCCGTGGTGAACTGGGCATGTTTTTAATTTCAGTGGTAGACTGAACCTCAACGTCTTTTTGACATTTATTGTTTTGGATGGCTTCAGAGTCACACCGAGCCATACAATACAGTTAAAGTTCAGTTAACTCCTTTAAACATCTAATATAAACGGCCTCTAAACACATGGATCATCGGGCTGTAAGGAGGTTTAACCCACATCTGCATAGCTACGGGAGGTCCTACAAAATACATATGGGGTCTGATAATTAGGGGGTCTAATAATTATGGGGTCTGATGATTAGGTAGTTAGGGGGCCTGATAATTAGAGATTCTGTTAATTAGGTGAAGTCGAAGAGTGGCATCACAGAAAGACTAGAGAGATTATCAGATTAAGTGACAGTCCACCGCTGACAAGCTGCTGTCGTCGCAATTACCAACATTGTACCACCCTTACTCAGGATCTCCCTTACTCGGGACCATTCTACGGAACTTTCTTCCTCTTTTTAGTGACAGAACCAATCTTCTCAGCCGGAGGAGCATGTCAGTAACTTATTCCATAAACCACAGGTGATTATACACTGGACGTGTCAAGATGAACAGGAGGGGTATGTAATATGCATAGTGAGTATACTCTACAATTCATTAGCATTTCCCATTGAAAGTGAGCCTAGTTTGACCCTACTTAAGGTGAAATACAGGTACATTCTCTACTAACTCTAATATGTTCTCTCTAAATCCCCCTAACTGTGTCTCCTGAGTTCACAACAGACTGCACTTCAGTATTTCAGTATCCTCAGGGCCACCTTTACTACTCTCCATTAAAGAGCACCGCTCTGTACCGACTGTTTCAAAAGAGCATCAGACTGAACAGTGTCCAGAGCTCACTACATCAGACTGAACAGTGTTCAGAGCTCACTACATCAGACTGAACAGTGTTCAGAGCTCACTACATCAGACTGAACAGTGTTCAGAGCTCACTACATCAGACTGAACAGTGTTCAGAGCTCACTACATCAGACTAAACAGTGTTCAGAGCTCACTGAGAGAGAATCAGACCTGCACACCAAGATCCCATTAACACGGCTAATTGGAGGGAATAAAGTGCTAGAATAGCATATGATCACACCCTCACGGACCCCGTAGGAGCGAGCACCAAAAGAGAAAGAGAAAGAGAGTTCTCATTTCCGGGTATACTGACGGCGCGTGCTTTTGACATTGGGCTCGGAAAGGCTACCTTGTATTAATGATGATGAGTAGTCATGTAGAATGTAAATGGCAATGACAAACAAGTTATTATGTGATGAGCATGTGACTGTAAAGTAAAGAGCAGAGCCTCAAGGCTTCTCTTAGGATGAGGAAGAGGGAGTACATTGTACATCATCTAACCCTTACACGTGTACACATACCTATACTAACACGTGGGCAGTTCGCTGTGTGGTACTTTACTCTAACTTCACAGAATGAATATTGAGTATAATATACTCAATATTCATTGAATAATCATAACATTGTCATTGAATAATAATATTTATATTTTGTACTTTTCCTTATGAAAAGAAAAGTTTTCCCGTGTACATGGGGAAAGTTATAATATAAGGGATAATGCATCTTCCAAATGGTTATTGACAAGTTTTCCTTTGCATTTATTTCTGAACTCTCGGTTGATTGGATACAGTAGGTCACCTGCTGTATCAGCTGCAGGTGTTTACTGTTTACTCCAGAAACCACTCTAATGGGTTTTTGGTACAAAGAGCCAATTGCAAAAATGTAATATCCACTGTGGTGATGCCGTGACTAACAATAATTAAAAAATAAGGTTGCTTTCTATTGAAGCTTTTTGAGAGATTCAAGCTATTGGACTGCCTACTCTATGAAAGACCCTCTAGACTTTTACAGATTTAATGGTGCCAATAACATCATTAAGTCTGTTAACCAACTAAATGACGTATACTATAATAACCCTCCCTTTCCTTTGAGAAACTAATAAATTGCACCAAAAATACGCCAAGAAAATGGGTTTCATGTAGTCGATTGGTTCTCAATTAAGCCAAATAAATGAGGTTGTTTAGATTCACAATATGTAGTACACTATGCATGTCTACATCTTGCAACAATGTATTGTTTTATTTGTTCAAAGGTGGTGTAAAAATGTGGCTCTTTCCGTGAGAAGAGGCAGTGCTCAGTGCTCAGTGCTCAGTGCTCAGTGCTCAGTGCTCAGTGCTCAGTGCTCAGTGCTCAGTGCTCAGTGCTCAGTGCTCAGTGCTCAGTGCTCAGTGCTCAGTGCTCAGTGCTCAGTGCTCAGTGCTCACTGCTCAGTGCTCACTGCTCAGTGCTCACTGCTCAGTGCTCACTGCTCACTGCTCACTGCTCACTGCTCACTGCTCACTGCTCACTGCTCAGTGGTTTGTCTCGAGTAATGGGACATTGTTACAGTAGTTATTGGTTACTGGGAATTTGACGTAATTTATGTTTAATGAATGGTGTGATGGCATCATGAGAAGTTAAACTTCATTTTATTTATTTACATCGCAAATCAATAACCACTTCCTTTAGTCGGAAAGAGTTCAAGAGAAATACATGTATCATTAGAAATACAATTGCGAACAAATATTTGAATACAGAGATTAATATATTCTGTAGAAGTAGATAGTTTTATTTCAAACTTCTGCAGAAGCAGATAGTTGTTACATAGCAAGTTACCTGGAGCCGGTTCATATTGGCCAGAGTGTTGAGACTGGCCATGTTGTTGATCCCGGTGGAAGGAGGGTTGGGTCCGGGGGTCATGTTGTCGTTCTTGATGTTGAGTTTCTCGCTAAGCGCGTTGCTAAGTGACACGTTGACGACGTTGCTAAGCGACACATTGACCCCACTGGGATCAGTGCTCCAAATACTGGTCAGATCAGTCTCCTTAGGAGAAGAGGATGTGGAGGGAGTGTGACGGTTAGAGTCTCCTCCGTTTGAGACCTGGTCAGGTTGGGACTGTTGGGGAACCTGCTGCACAGCCGGCATCTGGGGCATCTGTGGGGCCTGGGTCGACATCCTTGGTGCCCAGTTCTGCTGCTGCTGTTGGGGCGGCTGCTGTTGCTGCTGTTGCTGCTGCTGCTGCTGAGGCTGTTGCTCGCACTGAAAAGTTTGAGGTTTACTCACTGAGCGTGTTACCAGGTCGAGTTATTGAATCATGACTTAATCAAAATTCGGAAGCCGTTATTGTATTTGGTGACAAAGATTCGTTCTGAATGATGTAAAAATATATGTCACATACATGAGGCGCTTTATGTGTTATCACAGATCAAATCACAGTTATTATAAGCTTATTAAGTTATAAGTAAAGTACCTATATTGTTGGGTATCGAATAATGTGTCGGCGCGGAATTTTCTCAAAAATAAGGTCGTTGATCCGGAAAATTGGATAAATTGGTTTCTCTAATTTGTGGACTAACGATTTAAATTTAGAGACAGTTGAGTTACATTATATTTGGACTGAAGCCAGGGAGGCCATGGAAACCTGGTTCTCAAGTTCCATTTCGGGAGTGTGGTGGTAAACACGAAGCAGAAACCCTAGAGTAAAGAATCCTGGAGTTCAGTAGAACTTGCGATTGTGAACTCTTCAGTCAGAGACATTTCGCTAATTTCAGTCTTGCCTATGTCAGCATTCCGAAGGTAGGCGTGTATTAGAAAATATGTTTTAATAAGAGTACAAATTTTCTTCGCATGTTTTGTGAATACTGGTGGCGCCACAAGAGCTTCCTGTCAATTAGATTCCAGATTAAGGATAATTGGATGGATTTAGGTCACTAAAATCTACACCTATCTGACGGTTGCATTACGGTTACCTGGCCTCGCCTCGTCGCTACCTCAGTTTCCTGGCTATCCAGGCTAACATGAGCAGAGTAGGACCAAATTTTGCATTGAGTAACAAATGTGCGATGTACCGGTAAAATGCGCTAATATTTGAGAAGCTGGACGGAGTTGGAGGGGGAAGACGGTGATAATACGAGCGGAATGTTCGAGAATTGCTCGGGACTGTGACTAGGAGTGCCCACGTGTATGACTTAGGTTTGTCGCGTGTGTTACCTTGGTAACATTCCATATCAATACCCAACTCGACCAAGCATTGCCATTATTAGCCCTTATATGGACCACACTTCCTACAAAAGCCGGACCTGAGACACGTGACACGAACTAAGAGATCTGACTGGCTGACAGGAAGTCACGTGGTATGACAGAGCGGGTATGATTGGTGGGTGAGCACATTGCAAGCCGCAAGGTCCGGTCAGGCTAATCACGGGTAAACATGTACGGGTGGAAGTTTCGTTATCACATGAGAGAGGGTACTACCGGATAGTATCCTGGAGCAAGGTCAGCACTGAGACGCAGGCTATCTAAGATAACATTAGCTTTAAACTATTCCACTGTAATGCTGACTAACTGCAATGCCTTTAAGCTACTCTTATGAAACAAAAACAAAGAGTGAAGACCTAAACCACTCTTACCAGGTTGTAGTAGTCGTTAGGGAGCCAATACAGATCCATACCGCCTACAAGAACACCGTTAACTACTCAAGTAAATCAGGTATCTTTAACAAAGCTCTCCTTCTCCTCCGATGTACTTGAGAGAGGCGAATGGAAAGATAAAAATCAGTACTGACGGTCCCGCAGTTGTCCTGATAGTTCTAAGAGAAAGCTAAATATAGTAAAGTAATCGCAAATGTTAGCGATTCAAGGTAGAGAAAGAGCCGGTGTGATTGCTACAAAAGTCTTCTATCCGGGAATCAAACTGACCGATTCTATTGCGTCATTTTTTCAAATTTTTGATTGCAAATATTGAGCTAAACATTTGAATTAGTCAACTTGATGCGATATTAAAATGGGCTCAATGAGCATTTAAGTAAACCTCTAACGACTTCCTGAGCAATTATAAAACATCATACAAGTTCTACAAGTTTAAATTTAAAGCGTCCGTTCAAAAACGCTCGAAATATTCTAAAGACATGATTTAACGCGATACTCAAACACTAAAATGTACACTGCGTCAAGTATCGTGCTATTTCGTTTTCTCAAAGAGCGGATGAGCGTGATAATGAGCCGTGGCCACTATATTGAGCGGTTCATTCCAGCAGGTATGATGCGTCAAGATTTACCTTCTGGTGATTCGTACTTTATTTAAAGAGAGCGACAAGGCAGAAGCGAAATAAGTTCAGAATGGTATCCAGATTGGTTTGATGGTACTTCATACTGAGAAATAGGCAAATACATTCCGGGAACTGAGTAGCAATGAAAACTTTAACTGTAGGTATAATCTCTTGTCAGGTGTAATCTGCACATTAAACTATGTATAGGCAGAGCGGTTCAGACATAAATAATATTATTTTAATACCATAGTAATCATCCCGATGATAAGGCTAGGTCAACTCGTTTAGGAGATATAGACATGATAGTGTGGTATATCATCAGGCATTATTTTTACGGTCATATTAAATTTCTTTCATCAGAATGAGTGTTCCTATGTTCAACGTTCACATTATACCGGTCAATACGAAGAATCTTTCTTGGGAAATGGTGCCAAGATTGTACTAAAATATCTAGGATATTATCCTGAGCCAGAGAAAATTATCCGGCACTCGTTAATCCAGCAATTACGTGGACTCGACCGGAGCATTTCGGACAAATTAAACCAAATTTAGGATGTTGGGCTTGCATGGGATCTGGAAACATGTGACCCATAATTTTCAGCGCTTCCTGTTTTGATTCTAAAAGGTCCACATGGAACGCACCTTACTTGCAAATGTCGGGTCAGTTAAAGTGGGGTAATTACTAATTAGAGCGGTAATTACTTAATCACTTATTAGACTGGCTGGGGAGCACTTTGTGTATAATCTGTTTACCGAGAGAGGGTAGGTAGACATTCTGAGAAATTCAGAAGTGGATAAGCGCTGCATTAAGTTATTACGCGGTCAAGCTTTCAGAAACTTTATAAACGGGAACTTTAAAGCGAGCCTTCAAAATGGAACCAACGAAATCTTCAGGCGGGTATTTTTTGAATACAATGCAGGATCTCCAATATTATACTGGGAATTTTTAGAAGTTTCGTAATCATATGAACAACTTGAATGTTAAATCTACGATTAACCTATGATGGTCGGCTTTTTCAAATCAACCTGGACGTTAAAAGGTTAACGTTCTGACTAACCAAACGAGAGCAAAGAAATAGCTAGGCTAAATAGTAATGATTCTTCTATAACTCTATAGACCTTGCGCAATGATAATAAGGATAAAAGGATTGACATTAGCTGTAAGAGTTTCACGTCAATTCAACGGACTTGCAAAGCGCTATTTTTCAAGCATGTAGTTCTAAGCTATACCGTTTTTAAGCGAAGCTCATTTTGTAAAGGTTCAAAAATATTTATTAAACTTCTGATGAATCCAGTTATTGTCTCTAACTCTTGATATAATGTCTCATTTGTAGTACATATTCTAGTACATTCACGAGTTTTCAGTTTTCAATTAATTCCATCTCATTAATATATCATTTCATCTCATTAATAACACGGTTTTAATCAACTAATTTTCAGACAATTGTGTACTACGCAAGAAATTAATAAGTCAATCTAAATTACAGAGTTAGTACATGCACTTTACACCCTACGTGACACAAATTGATAAGTAAATATTTATAATTAATTCCGTTCAACTTTCAGTTTCGTGTAGTGTATTATTAATCAGAATATTATCAGCTCGATCTTTAAACTTAAAGACGTGTGGCTATAATAAGTGATTATATGTCTGATCTATGATTGGGCCCGAATATGGCCTTAACTCGCGGTACAGTGTATAAAAAATGGGAACATAGTTTGATGGTCGATGATTCTATGATTACGTTCAAAGAGTTAAGCCATGCAATAAAGTTAATACGCAAAAGTTTCTCACAAACTGGTTTTTTAATCTGAATTCGAAGGATTTTCCTTTTTACCGAAGAACTAAGTTACATACTAGATATTTGGGGTTTCAAGCCAGGGTTCTCACCCCATTATTCGTGGGTGACCAAAGTTATAAAACCCTACCCTAACCCTACTGTAAAATAGCACAACCGTTCATACTAAAAGGTAGAAAGTAAAACTGACTAACCTTGATGGGGTGGAGGACAGTGTTGTAGTTCTGGAGATGATCCGGGGTCTGGTCCTGGATCCCAAACAAGGAGTAGTTGGTGTTGTTGTACTGGGGTCCTGTTAGCGGCTGGTTGTGGTCTGTTATCAAGTCGTACATTTTACGTTGTTGCACCACGCCGCTACTCACTGTACATGGGAGGAAAAACGAGGTTAGGTACGTGTGGAGACTGAAGTTAGTGAGGTAAAACGAGGGTATTTATATAATATAGTGTGGCCAAAACTTTACTAAATGTCTTGGCTGTTAGGGTTACAACAGTGTGGAGAAGGTGACAAGAAAGCTTTTACTGAATGTGTGGTGACCCTGATAAAAAGCAGGCAGTTTCAGATAATACTACCAAACAACAAGTTCAATGTAAGAAGTAGAATAAAAGTAGTAGAATAAAATATAAGATATAAAAGTAAAATCAACAAGGGGAGACCATCTAAAAACGCACATTAGCAATGTCGCTTACTTATCATGAGACATGGTAAAAACTTGCAAATAAAACTATAAAGGTGATTAGATTTAGACAGCTCAGACACTGGCAATGTCGCAATGTACATTGTACAATGAAGAGAGCGAATATCAAGGAAACGAAACAACAAACCATATTCAAGTACGTTTATAACAGGTAGATAAGGTGCACTAATTAGACGCTAATTGGAATCCCATTTAATGTAACGCTTCTATTGACACACAAGGTGATTAAAGTGATTGGAATCATATCTTGAACATAGATCTTGGCAAATAGGTTAAACATAATTTAATTTGTACCAATCATCATGATAAGGGGGTTCAGCCAATCTGATAGTAATTGTTATAGAATATAAAGATAAGATTAGGAGATAATTAGATAAGTGGTTGTTAATAGCCTCTCAAAGAATAACAATAAACCCCGTAATGGGATCGAATTTCACAAGCACCGGTAAAATCACGACTCTCAATAAATATTACATGGAAATGAAATGTTGCTAAGAAGGCCAGACTCTCAGAAACTTTAGAAACCGAAACTAGAATGTAGCAGAGGAAGTGGTTCAAGTATTTGAAGTTATCAGGTTACAAGGTAAGGTTGTTAGATAACATGCATGATGTAAGATGGGATATCCAGCTGGTACAACGTGCATGGTAACCAGGACAACAGGTACAACGTGCAGCTGGACTGGAAGCGTGCTTGTGCAGCTGCTTGATTCATGCTTGTGAGGACCGTTACACTTGATCAATACTGTAGCCGTTATTCTCGAGTAAGTAGCTTGCTGTGCCCTGTTCTACTCTAACTACAGAGTTAAAAGAGAGATCTAATCATTGGTTACCTATCCGGTTCAGTTTGTGTTGTTTTGGCAGAGCGAGCTATTTGTTTTGCAAGACGAGACAGAAAGACGTGCCAAATCTCTATGAAAAAGCTGGCGCTTCTCTAAGACAATCGGTTGCCATAACTCTAAACCGAAGCGTACAGGGTCTTTTCATCTAATCCTCTCCAAGTAACCAAACATTAGTATATGTCGGCAAATGAGTTGATAATTAGCAGAAGTAAGAAAAGAAAGCAGGTTCCAGGAGTGGTTTGTGCGGGGTGGTCGGTGTGACAATCAGACAACCACCCTCCAGGAGGGGGTTCCGCTTTTACAACTGCCACTTTGGAGATATCTGCTACAATATCCTAACTAGCGGACCCACCTCCATCACCTACTGAAGAGTAATTAACTGAGAATTAGAGCAAGTCAGCGAGCTGGAAACTGCAAGCAGAGGAAAAGCAGAGCCGGGACCAGCCTGCCAGGAAGTGAGCAGAGTAACAACAGGAGATCTCGCTAACTACACTATCTTGACACACTCTAAACTTGGACACTGCTAACTAGCTTAACTTGTATCTTGGACACGACTATCTAGTTGTTGGGATCTCCGACAATTCCCAGCATTTCTGAGAAACTAAATGCCATCTAAGGCAGTAATAACAAAGTAAGATTCCGTAGAACCACAAAATATGGTCGAAGATTTGACCCAAAAAGGGGCAACGGTAATGAATGAGATGAGTGTGATCCCATAACGGCATATTCCAGTGCCCACACACACAAGTGAGCCTCCTTACAAACGCCTCCTCAATGCTCAGAACCCATGCTTACACATGAGTACTACTTTAAACCACGTGACTAGACCACGTGACATCATCACGTGACTGTCTACCTCAACTATTACTGGCGGGGAAGTACCACGTGATCCGGTAGCTCAATTGTGAGTGGAAGAGGGGTGGGTAGTGCCATGTTTACACTGGGAGAGCCTGGTGTGTTTGGTTGTGCGGAGGACACTTTATCCTCTAAAGCGAGGGTTAAGGTACTCAGCGGATCAGGATGTTGGAGGGAGGGGTCTGTATCTGAGGGGTCTGTATCTGAGTGCTATAATTCGGGTAGCTCCAGAATATTGTACTCTTAGACTTACTACATTGTGCACTACTGCTCAAGGCTCAAGCAATGAGATCATTGCAAACATTTTTCATATTGCCTTATTATTAACGTTTTGATGACATCATTAACACTGGTACATTAATCCTCTTACTTTATTTTGTAAGCTCTTGTAACTTTTTTACAGAAATCACAGCGATACTTGATTACAAGTAAAATTCAGCGCAAGGTTTAAAGAAATGATGGATAACTATTTATACTCATGGCTGGAGAATTAATGCAGCAGTCTATTTACAACCAAAAATATGTTTGATAATATAGCGCTGGTAGTGATTGACCCAGCAACTGCTTCCACAGAAAAAGGAGCTCTATGTTATTTAACAAAACCATTGGTGTCGGTCCAAGTAAACAGGTACTAATGTATCATTAAAGTATCAACTTTCAGACTAATTCGCACGAAGAGACAAATAGCTTAGTTGGCACATGTCAAGCAGTTCTAAAGAACACGGTGCTCCAGCAGAAAATCTAATCAAAATACCAGATCTTCAAGGAACCACTGAAAGAGATTTCTTGAGTGATTGTCCACGAAAATTGGACGTAAGTTGCCAGGGCCGCCGGTTTCTGTCACATATCCTGGGAACAACATCAGACCCATTACCAAACTCTCGAGGCAAGTTCACTTAGATATAATATATAAAAGAAACAGAGATATTCCAGATATTAAATGGACCGGCGCGGCACAAGGCAGATGCAGTTGTCAAAGAAATGCGGACAGATCCATTTGAAATAGGATCTATTCCGAGAAAACAAGTCTGGCAACTTAAATCGTTAGGCTGTTAAACATAGTCACTGGTAAATATTACGGGAGTTAAAGATCAGGTCTGACCCACAAAAACAAATCTTCAAGAACGGTTGAACGTTCAAGGTTTCAAGGTTTCCTCAGGCACTAAAGATCGGTTATAACTCCGTAACTTATAGTTATACTATATTATATATTATATATCATATATTGTATTATAACTACATACTCGTATTATTATATCAGGAGATCTTGTTTTACTGTCCGTAGTCGGAGGCATGCACCGTGAAACTGTAATAGGGCGGCGGTCAACAGTTCCAAATTACACAGTAGTGGCGGTTGACATGGGTATGTCCTGAGTATGTGACTTTATTTTCAACACAAGTAACGGAAACATAGGTTCCCCAAGTAACGGAAACATAGGTTCCCCAAGTAACGGAAACATAGGTTCCCCAAGTAACGGAAACATATTAAGTACTGTTAAGTTCTATAAGGAATACAAGGAATACAAATTTAAAATCTTAAGTTAAAACAGTAACTGTTAAGATAATAACAATATCATAAGATTTAGATTTAATATTAATATAATTTACTAAAAAGAAAAAGAAAGATTTTGAAAATAATTATTTCGTTTACAGTCCCCTTGTTGATGCTTAAGCCAGGCCACTTTGTGCTCGTTGTATAATGTGAATAGATATGGTGCAAAGCAACTATATCTCGTATTCTCCATATTTCAATAAGCAAAATTATGAACTTCAGAATTAGAAAGGCCATTTTTTAATAGGTACTTAAAATGTTAATTTTAAGAGCAAGTCCTAACTTTTGATTTTAAATTAAGTGTGACAGTTTTATGGATAATACTAGAGAATAGTAAAGCCAAAACGTTTACCGTTCTGAATCACCTAGTTTTCCTATAATGGTAACGGCACTGTGAGAAAACCTAAACCTAGGCACTGCAATAAAGGCACGACTTTCACGTGACAAACCTTACTCAAGTTACTTGTTGATGGAATAATGTCGCAGTTCCAGTCCTCACTGTTAAACATATTTCCAATAAGTTATGTATGCAGTATCACGTACTAGTAAAGTCTGTACTTCACCCCTAATTCCACCAGTAGTAAAACTTTGTTCCCGATAAGTGATAAGTTGTTCCAGAATTATAAAATAAATTTATCGGTGACGTCACACGCCAGTGACGTCACACGCCAGTCGATCTAACATGAGCAACCAGTTAACATGTATAATATTACATCAAGTAATCCTGGGAACGTTTCACTCCTGCCACAACACGGCACGTGATAAAACTCAGAATTAGTTCTGGGGCAAAATCTGTAGTGTTCCCGTTTATTGCGACAAGGAAAAGGCTCTTATCAGGATAATGAATTGCTCTATACTACGTTTAGTATACTACGTTTCAATGTAACAACCTCGTAGTCATGATCTCAGATTATTTGTTATAATAATATAGTAGTGTTGAAAGTACACAACATTGCTACAGTTGAAGATGCCGGTGTCACGTGACCGGTGACAGTGTCACGTGACAGAACTATGTTGCAGTTGAAGAGGTCACGTGACTACTGTTGCAGTTGGTACGACCACAACCTTCCCAATCCGAGACTGGACTAGTTACTGTCATTAACACAGCCACACAGTTTGTGAACCTTATTTCAGGTGTTGCAGCTCGTCTGTGACACTTTCTCTCTCTGTACAGTTTAACAGTACTGTGAACTGTGAAACTGAATTCACAAGACTGGGAGAAGACGGAAACTGTAACCAGTCATGGGAAAAGAGAAAGTTCTCACAGAAACTCTAGCTCTGTTTTAGTACTGTTGGTGAGCAGCTATTTGACATATTTAAGGAGTTCAACAAACATGTTACTTGGTGTTAGCGGGGAGTCATAACAACAGAGGAAATGTGATCGGAAGATGTTGACTATTTAAAAGAAAACCATGTCGGT